GAGACGGTATTTCTTGTTAACATGTTCTGTTTATAATTCTTCACACACTGAACAAGGCAACAATTTAGAACACAATGCTTCTATTCTATCTGCTCAGTTTGTGCTACACGTTCACCAGATCTGTCGATAAAAAAAAAAAAAAAAAAAAACATTTTTTGTGTTGCTTCTGCAGAGCATTTGTCTGCAAAGAAAGATCTGAAAGAGACAGAAATGAAGAATTAAAAATAGGGAATAAAGCTGAGAACTGTGTTTCAATAGTAATTATCAGAAAGCCTGCTTTACCCTGCTGAATATGAATAGATCTTTTTTTTGCTCTTTTGTATAAAGACAAAGAAAACACGATGGAGCTAAATCTCATTTTACTGAGGATAATAGGGATGATTATGAATATATGCTTTTATTTAGTACAGTTCAGTTTGTAGCAGATTGGAAGGTCATTCAGAGAGGATGGCTGCAGGTTCAGTGCAGAGAAAAGATGTTATTTCTAGCTAACATCACATGACTGTTCAAAGTTTGCCTTATTAAATGTGTCTGTCTAGAGTTTGGGGATTATGTGTATGAACTTTGCATGAGGTAGATGTTCTCTATCTATCTCTGTTCTTAATGTTGTCTGCCAGGCTGCAACAGACAGACAAGGAAGCCCGCATACTAACTTCTCACTGGTCTCTTATGAATATTTAATTCCTTCCCTTCTTTGGTATATTAGCTTTTTATTGACTGTTGGTCAAAACAAACCCACTGTCATTCTGTTAGGAATGTTTTTATTCTCACCCTGCAAAAACTTTAATCCTCACTGAGAGATTCTTCCCATAACAGTGTTTGGTTAGTATGTGTTTTTATGCAACATCAACTTTTCAATGTCTGGCTGGAGCTGACCTTAACTTATCATATAACAGTTCATTTTCTGCAGAAGTTTTGAGTCTGGATAAGGCTGGTCTGGCAGGAAAGTCTGACCCTGATACACAAATATATGCATTCCAAACAAAATTTCCTAACACCTTCATGATGCTGTTGTTCGACCTTCATCATTTCTCAAGTTGTAAAACGAAAGAAAGGATAAAACAGATTAAATTCTGTGTGCTGTGGTCTTTACTGTTCTCAGCACAGAGGAGGGTGGCAAGTCACACCTGTAGGAGCGGGTTGCCTTGTGGAGCCAGATGGCTGTAAAGGCGGGAGCAGAGTAGAGAAGAGAGGTCTCACAGGTGGTCCATGAGCCAAAACTGCATCCTCTTCTCTGGTCATCATGTCAAGATCAAACATGGACACTGGTGCCCAATGTCCAAACCCACGATCATGGAATATAGCACAACACTACCTTTACTGAATTCACAGCTTCATCTTATTTCATCCATTTTTCTAAAGGCATCTTTTATCTTCCCAAATAGAGTTGAATTTCCATTTTGCTCCTGTTAACTCCTCGAATGTTTGCTGAAATGTTAGCCTTACATTAGCGTATAAAGTCTCTTTGGATATCACCTGTATATACAGTGGCTTGGCTAACTACATACTTTAGTGTGCTTCCAGAAAAAGCTGTTCTACTTACTTTTGAACACTTTGCATGGATTGTTCCTTATTCAGCTACTGATGTTTCAACTTCAGCTCTCTCCCAGCAACACAACCTGTGTATTGTCAATAGCCTGAGGCATAGCTCACACAAAGGCAGAAAAAAAACCAGCAGCAAACTAATGTGTGTCTCTCTCATACAAAAATATTACAAAACATTTTCTTAATATGATTCATGCTAGACAAGATATTTCTTTTTTAAAGTTTAGTTGCCAAGAATACCATAAAATACTAGTGCAAAGTGATACAAAAATCAAAAATACTGTAAACTATATGCCTGCTTTTCTTTTTTGTTGTTGATTGTTTTGTTGTTGCCCTGAGTGCTCTAAGCCTAGTAATTTTGACAATTCAGGGCCAGAGTTTTTAAAACCACGGTTGGGATAGTGGTAAAAAAAAAAACAACAAGGAAAAACACAGATTTATTTTATTAGAAAATAATTTGTACATTACTTAGAATTTTTTATTAAATTTTGCGGTAAAAAGGAGCCTCCCTGCTGAAAAGAAAGGGATAGGGTTTTGCAAAACATAACACCATGTTTCCTATGTTGACTCCAGGACAACTTGTAAAAATACCCTGCTATGCACCCTAATTGAAATATTCCTACTTTTTATACTTTTATAGCCATGATTCGAGGCCTGTATGAGAAACAGAACCAGAGCAAATAACTGAGAGACTTAGAAAGCCTGAAAAACAACTGCTGAAGAACGACTAGTTAAATTATAATGGAATTTAGACTGCATATATCTCCCTGCTGATTACTGTTGCTTAGTGTTTCCCAAATTTGGTTTTGGGACTTCAAAGGTAATAAAAAACAAACTACAAAAATGATCAAGATTTCAACAGCAGGTTTGGAAAAAACATTAAACTGTGATATCAACTTACAAACTCTGGATGGAAAGAAGGATGGAAGGATGTCCTGTATGTGTTCTTTCACCTTTACAATCCTTTATATATCAGGATGTAACATTTAAAAACAGGGTCAATTCACCCAAATGGCTTTTTCAGTGCTAGAGTCTCCTCAGCTTCAGGATTTCCAAATGCTGTTAGCATTGTATCGCTGACTAGATTAAGTTGAAAAACAAATTACATTGGTATTGATCCTTCTAACTACATCTGAAAAGTCTTCAAAGAAATTGTCATTTAAAAAGTGCAGTTTCAGTTTCCCTCCATGACGCAGAAACAGCTTTGTGTGTGCTGAATGATTATCCCTAATGGCCTCCCTTCTCCCCGTTGAAAGCTTGACCTGTCACAGGAAGGAAATCGCCGGTGGGACATAATAACATTAATTAGCAGCTTTGGATTTTCTTGGTTCTGATATTGTGCCTATTCTCTATAATGCCGTCATCACATACTTAATGTTAAAGTAGAGCAAATTTATTGTTAATGTTCATTATGCCTGATTCCCTCTTGCTGTGA